AAAAACACGGTCTCCCACAAAACCCGAACCCTAGCCTTTCGCCCATGAAGCGTCACGCTTACCACTACACCAAGCCGCCGTTGAGGTGTGAGCTGCTTCTATGTAATTTGAGTATTCCCATGTAATGTCACCTAAAATCACCCTCATAACTCCGTTCAGAGAATCGCTTGGCAGATTTGGAAAGCGGATTTGAACTCAGCGCCCAAAAACACGTCTAGCAGTATAGGTCTTATTTCAAATGGCCACTTCGAGTTGGGATCCTTCCCTGGTCAGGTGCACCTAAATAAGCTCTTAGAAGTGTTCGTTTCTTCAAACCTTAGAGGGAAACACGAAAAAAGGCTAAGCGATATTGCTCTTTCGTACCCTCTCTTCACGTCGACATTAGTTACATTGCTGTGGGTTGAGGTTTCCATGTTGAAGTCGTTAAGTTCACGGATTATTATAGAACCAGTCGATTCGCCGGCTAACGCCTGCTTCCCTCTTCCCCGGCAGAGTTGCAGTAATCGGCTGATTCTCCACTCCTTTGTACCAAATAATATTTTCCCATTCACGAAGTTTGACACAGAACTAACAGAGCAGTGCAAATGGTATTCAGCGTGGATCGGTGCTTACGCCTTTGATTGGAGGTGTCGATTTCTGCTCTCTTTTAAAAATTGGACACCCATTAAAGACTCAACTGTTAGGCAACCAAAGCCCTGGGCGGTACTTACACATGAGTGGTGATAACACCATTATCAGATGTCGTTATCAATGGACCTTTTCCTTGACGGAGATATAAGTATTAGTCGAGAATTCCAGATAACTGGCGGTTGGTTAAGTTTCGTCGCAAATGATATCGAACGAAAGGGACTCTACATTAAGTTACAAACCTTGCTGGGTAGCGGTTGTAATCTAATAGCAAGAAATTAACAGATTTCTGCTTATCGTGGTACGGGTGTTGGGTTCCTATCACCGCTTTTAATACTCACTTTTGTCACTCTAACATAGCGTACCATCCAGTCTTATTGAATGAAACGTACCGAACAGTCGAATCTGCATCGTAAATACCGAAGGCGTTAGGGTTTTGATCAGTGCGTGGCTCTTGCTTTCTTAGACCCTTTATCTTCTTTTATCAGTTATTGGTTCCTGTCACCGGGTACCAACGATCGCGTCATATGCTACACCACTTATCAAAATGCCGAGGTTCCATTGTTAATCGAAAAGCTGTAATCCTACCAAATTTAAACTCTTCAGGTCCACAAACAGGAGTTATGAATTCCCGTTCAGACATTTATTTCACCCCCTATAGTCGGAGTCCGTTCCTGCTTCTTGCCATAAGTATTCCCATCCTGCCCCGTACTCCTACCAGATTTGAACTTTCTAGTCCACGGGAATAGGAGTGAATTTCTGGTCGTACACACACACACACCGACACACACAAACACACACATACACACAGGTGTGTACATTAATTTCTGCCGTTTTTTGCGTGCAAAAAAATATTTATAACAAAAGTAAAACCAAATGTACATTAACCAATGTACTGCTCACCGTTAGCTACAGCTTCTTGCCATCCTTCTGGTATCTTGTTGACTCCGCGTCTGAAAAAGCCTTCATCTTTCGAGGCAATCCAGTTATCCACCTATTTTCGCACTTCATCAGCATTCCAGAAGCATGTATCTGCCAAACTGACTTGCATGGACCGGAATAGGTGGTAATCAGAAAGAGCAAGATCCGGAAAGTATGCGGACTGAACAAGCTGATCCCATCCAACAACTGCAATTTTTTTAAAGGACATTCTTCGCAACATGGGGACTGGCATGTTCGTGGTGAAACAGTACCTCATGGTATTTTCTTGCGATTAACGGCCGCTTTTAGCTGAGAACATCCTACAAACTGTCAAGTTCGTGTTCGTAGCGGCCAGCAGTAACAGTTTCGTTCGGGCTCAGCAGCTCATAGTTCAAAACACCCTTTGATCCCACCGCCAAATGCACACACAGCACTAGTTTTTGGCAGTGGACATTTCGCTTTAGTTGCAAACTCTCGAGTGAAGAGAAACCATCTCAGCAGGTTCTTTCAGATGGAGCTTGTCCTCCATAAGTATTGAAAAGCATCTTATGGGCTTCAATGCCAGTTTTCTTGAAATAAAACAGCAGGAGAAGGCCCCACTCCCCGGGAAACATGTTCCATGCCCAACCAGTCTGAGAGCAACGGGAATTTGGGGGAAAACTGATCTATCTGTCCTCAAGTAGGTAGGCAATTTCCTAACTTACAGAATATGACAGGTTTCGGCGGTCAACCTCTAACATGGTTCGCGCAACGACTCTCGAGCAGGCAGGTTGCGTCATAGTTACTGATATCGTCCATATCTCCCTTTTCACAAGCAACACATCATACAAATTGTCTTACAAATGTATCATTACAAGACTTCTTTACTGGGAACCAGCCATTTATGTTGTATTTGCTGCATCAGCAGCAAATGTTCTCTATTTAAATTAGTTCCATTTTGAAGAAACGTGAATTTCTCCATGTGACCGTCGCTAGGATTTTTTAATGCGTGGTAGACTATAAACCATTCATCAGGTTCATGAAGCAGCGCTGGAAGCGGAGCGATCAGGTCGTAAGTTGTCATGGACATCTGACAGGATAGAAAAATATCGGCACAACGTGCTCAGGAGGACAGAAGAGGAGACAAGTGACGTTATATTGCTAGAGGAAACGGTGAAGGATGAAGCTGATGAATCAGAACTTGTCGACCTGGAAACACCTCCTTCAAAACCACGGAAATTTTCTTTTACTTCTTTGGATACAAACCTGCCAGCAGAGGCATACGTGAGCGCTTAGATGAAATCTATTACTTCAAATATTCTATGAACAATCCAGTGTTTCATCTGGGCCGATTTGGTGGTGTTTCAACTGCTCATTGTTTTTCCTTTTTATTCCTTTCAGAAATATTGTTTGCTTCCTAGTCTCTGAGGTCGAGGCAAGTCCTCTGTGTTGTTGTGTATAAGTGAATCTTCTCCAATAGTCCAAAATCACGAGCTGGTACGCAGTGCTTTCTTTATGCTTGAATAGTTTCTGAAATCGCTGTCTTTGTTGAAGTTTCTTCGTTATGGCATAGTTCTTGACCAACGCTGTGCAAGACAACTGACGTATGCAACCACCATGACCTTTGCAACGTGGAGCTTGTAATAATAGGGCAGCAGCAAGTAAAGTAGGTGCTACTAAATCGCTGTTGCACTGACTTCGAGCAGAGGCCTATTTTCATGAACCTTCACGAAATTGCCGAGGTTCATGGGAATAGTTGCGCTTTTTTCATGTCCCCTTTGTTGCAGTATCTCGTCACCCTTATGGTGCTCGAACAGTGCTTGTGACTTTGAAGGATGGTGGGAATCACGTTCATATCGCCAATTTTCAAATGCAACTGTTGAACGAATGTCTCAATTTTGTTTCCTTCTATTTCATCAGCTTAGTGTATCATTATGCCCTCCCTGTAGTCTGTTGTTTTGTTTTTTTAGCTCAAAAGGTTTTGTTTGTTGTTAGAGTTGTTATGGATTGGTAGATTTTAAACCGATTAGAGTCTATTTTATCAACGATATGTTCAACTACTCCACGCTTTGTTTTTGTTACTGACTCGGTAAAAATACGCTTTGAACTGTACGGTGTATGATGTGAAAAGGCAGTTTTTCGATTTCTAGCCCATCTCGAAAGGGTTGCAGCTTTCAGCTTTTTTCAACTCGAAATTAGTTCTCAAGAAAGTAGAATGTATTTGGTTGATGCATAATTATTGCGGATTTTTTGGCGGCTTCCTTTCTCTCCTTACAATTTCAATATCCAAGTCGAGATTTTTATAGAAATAATCTACTCGCTTTCTTCAATAGAAATATGTCTTGAAAGTCATCTTCTTTCTCTCCACATTATGCTCTATTACTTCGAGAAATGATGGAAGGTGGCACACTCATTACGCGATCTCAACGAACTTCTTGGCGATGGAATTATGAGCCAAAGCCAACTGAGGACTGGGATTTGCTCCTACATCTCCATACTGACCCACAGAAACCATATGAAGTATCACGTCACCCGTTCGTTAAAGATGGATTAGCAAACAGGCCTTACGACGAGATGGGTGACTTGTTGACCGATGTCAAGGTGAGGATCGCCTTCAAGGGCCGAAACTTCTTCTCCTGTGGAACCTGGCTGCCTAGCAAATGAGAAGCAGTGCTTGAAGAAAATGGTGAATACGTTCCGGAGTAATTATTTGAACATGCATTTGTTAAGTATCTTAATCTTTCTATTAAATAAAATTTGCTGGAAAAAATCCGCAATAATTATGCATCAACCTAATAATATAGTCTGTGTCCTAATCCTCATATCTTTCTGATGGCCAATGAAATGTTTGGAGTTCATCATGAAGGACGCAGGGAGGGGTCGGTTAGAGAAGTTCTCGAAACACGAGTTGTATTGGCTTTGATTATCACAGCGCTGTCCGTATAGGTGGTATTTCATGCAGAGGAAATCTTCATCTCTGAGAGAACTTGGACTTCTGAAGTGTGTTACACATAACCATTCATTTTCATGCATGGCCATAATCGACTTGATCGTTGTGTAGTGGAGGCAGCTTGATGATCTTGCAGGTGACAATGCTGCTCATCCACGAATGAATCTCACTGCCCTACCACAATCTTGCGACTCGATTATTTCCTGTTTGAGAGTGAACAAAAAATTGTACCACTTCACTAGGATAGGGGCACCGAGGTCGTGCGACGATCACCTCATGTAAAAAGTTGGAAACTCCTCAGCCTTGAGGCTCCTACCCTCCTGAGGGTTACTTTGAAAACTTACCAACTGATCCCCGTCCTCGAGCCACTGTTTAATGGCGATTTCAAAGCATCTTGTATTAGGTGTGATGTCTTAGAAAGCTGCACATGTCATCTGTGTTTCAGAGGTGTAATGATGAAGCAAAAGTTCGAGTATAACTCCCTCAAACCAGGCAATGAATAATACAATCGTAGGCTCGAAAGACTAGGCCACAGAATCGGAAGGTGGCGTTTGAGGTGTTTCAAACTCTCGGGATCCTGCGCTGCCATTCGAGCCCGAGTTTGTTTGAAATATCTCTCTTCTCCTTTCGACAGTCGCACTATGGCCACGTATGGTCTTTGATAATCGGATGTCGTACATCACGACCACCAAGAATCCCTTCCGTTTTCTCCTCATCAACCTATTTACATCCCAGGAGCTGGATCATGGGCATCTGCCAGGGCCTGCGTTACATCTTCACTACAGACATGCTCATTTGGTATATGGGCAAAGTAAGGGGCAGGACGGGGATGAAGGTGTCGTTTGAGGATGCAATATAAACAGACAATTTGTAGTCATACTAGAGCATTAAAACACAAAGTTAAAGGGGAAAAGAGGAAGAGCAAAGAATTTTATGATCATAACAGACGATTTGTACATTTTGCATGAGAGCGATACATACGACCAAGTATCTGTGAAATACCGCTCTCGCTGAGAAAGTTTTTTTTCCAAAAGTTACAGCAAGGTGGATGAAGTTGAGTTGTACCACCAAATCCGACAATTGCGAGTGTTCCGATAATGGGTGGTCATGCAGTCATCCTGTCTTTAATGTCTTCAGAGCCGTCAGTTATCTTGTCTGTAGATCCGTGGATAGAACGAATGGTGACAGTTTCTAGGCTTTTTAGCTTCGAGTTTCTTGATGTTAAAACTGAAGTAAAGAAAGAAAAGCGGTCCCAAATGCCAGTTCTGGACAAATCTTAGTTTTGTACCTTGTGTAGAGCGCATGGTTTTTCGTAAATAGGCTCCTCATGAATAAGCGAACCCGCCGCCCTGCCTCACTTGACATGGATGAACAGTATTGAGAGAAGGTCGCCCGTTGTCAATAATGAACCCATGTAGCGAATGTAAGATGGCCCCTAATCGCGCAAGAGGTCCATCTTTGTTAGGTCGGCACAGCCCGAAGATGCCACCTGGGGAAGCCACGCCCTGGTGCGGATGCTCTGAAGAACACAAGGTAGGGTGAGTGTTGTGTTTATCCATTATCCCATTCTTGCGCATAGTAGATAATACTTTCCTTAAGTACGTCGCTCAGTGAGCACAAGAACGATTTGTAGTCCCGTGCGAGGCCTGGTCTGCCCAAAATTTGTCATCGTTGTAAATCTAAACGGAAAACAAGGGCAAGTATTTCAAAAGTATACTTGACCGATTCAATAAGAATTCCCTGTAAAGTGAAAATCAAATTCTAAGGAGGAAGGAACAATACTGTGGAGGTCTTGACTGTCGGAATATATGAAACAAATCAAAAAGGAGAGTTTGGTGTACTTGTTAAAGGCACCGTCCACATAATTTTGGGTAATCCAGGTTATGATGAAAAACTAAAGACAAGATCAAAACTAGTGAAAAAAGGCTTTGAAAAAACGTTAAAAAGGGGGCTGGACGTGAATGAAACCAGAAAAATGAAGAAGGGTGAGGCGTCCGGACGAGTTAAATAGTGTGTTTCACTGCGCGCGTGTGGGTCCTAGTGCGAAGATCAGACAATGATAAGCAAAAATTCATTCACTTATAAGCATAAATAAACAAAAAAAAACCCTAGTAACAGCAAAAGTAGCTCACCCTTTTTAGATTCTAGGAGTAGGAAATTATTAAATAAGGTATCGC